TATTATCCTTGAAAGTGTCCCATATTATTTGCGTAAAAGTGAATGAGAATAGACTCATTTTTTCTTCGGTTGAGAATTGCTTGAAAATGAAACAACCAATCATTATAATTCCTCTCAATTTTCTCTACCTAATTAACTACCATTTTCTTTTTGATTGAAACTGAAAACTTGATTTTATTTTTAAAAATGCTTTATATCATCTAAATTATACAAAACTAACCATCTAAAGAACAAATCATTTAATATTGGGCATTGCCCTTAGACAAACTTATGATTTGAAGTCCCCAATAGTTCAAATAGAAAAATTAAAATTACAGTCATATTAATTAATAAAAACAAAACTATATCATTTAAATTATACAACACATACAATTAAATGAAAATAGTCCATTCAATAAACTCCTATTTTACTGTCCAAGTTGCTAACCAGTAGACTTTAACTCACAATTTTTTTCAGGCAGAAAATATGCGGCCAAATTAAATGTAGACAAAAGAAAGAAAAGCATTGAATTGAAGTGGGCATTTAAAATCCGAAATATGGTCAAAATAAATAAACTAACAAATAAATAAATAAATAAAGTTAAAATCCGAAATGGAATTCACTGTGTACCTCTTGAGACGATCACAACCACCGACACTCAATCCCACCGTTAATCCTCACCAAAACAACGAACATCCAGAAGTACTAGATCACAGACCCTCACATCACACAGGCTTGAAAAAAATAAAAAACAAAAACATTACAGTAACATTGGCATCCATTAATGTTTCCACATCCTGTCATCCTCCCAAGACTCAAACTTCCCGATCTGTTAACTCTAACGCACGTTGGATCTTGTTCGTAAAATTCAGATGCTTTCTTTTCCGATCCTACACTGATCAGATCTGTGGTAGATTCTTCACCTTTCTATTTTTCGCAAATTCAATTTCATCTTCGTAGATCTGTTTGTTCGATTCTAATGAAATGAATTTGAATATGCTGCTGTTCAGCTGCTCATGATTAGATTCCAATTTGAATTCCGTTCTTCAATCTGAATTTCTTCGGTTTGGTGAAAGAACTGGTTGTGTTAGTGTTTGATTTTGGTTGATTTTGCAGTGATTCGGTGATTGGAGAAGATGTTGACGAAGTTTGAGACTAAGAGTAATAGAGTAAAGGGATTGAGTTTCCACAGTAAGAGGCCGTGGATTCTTGCCAGTCTCCATAGTGGCGTGATCCAGCTATGGGACTATCGGATGGGAACTCTGATCGATCGGTTCGACGAGCACGATGGTCCTGTTCGCGGCGTCCATTTCCATCAGACTCAGCCTCTCTTTGTCTCTGGAGGTGCTGCCATTTGCTTTTTCTAGATTACTCTTTGGTTTTGTTTTGATGTCTAATGTAGTCCGTGAATCTTGTTGAGTTCCTCGTGATTGGTTGTGTGATCTACGGATTTGAATATAATTCCGATGAGGAGTTGTAGGATTTAAGAAATATAATGCATAGGGATGTTCACATCTTGTGTTGAGCTATGAAAGCGAGAAATTTATGTGACTGCATCGATACAAAGCTTCCTCGAACACCATCCATCCAGAGTAGTTTTGCAGTCTTACCATAACCAAGTGTAGTAGATCTATGTGTTTAAACTTTTAGATCTACCTAAAGAGGAAGCTGGTCTGGAGCACTTTCTAGGTTCCTTAAACTTGGATTGAGGATAGGAGTTGAATTGTTCTCTTGTATGGCAACCTAAATGTTGATTTAAGGTGGAGTGGATTCACTATAATATAAACAGAATGATGAGTTAACTTTTATAGAACTTTTTGTATATGCTTAGGATGAGTAAGAAATGTTTAGATTTGGGAATTTTATTGAGCAAATTTATACTGCTGGCGTTATGATCTTATGCTTAAATTACTTTCTTAGAGATTAAGGTTCTTAAGTGACACGTTTGACACTAAAATTAATGGCTTTGCAGGTGATGACTACAAGATAAAAGTTTGGAACTATAAGACACATAGGTGTCTCTTTACCCTTCTTGGACATCTTGACTATATCCGCACTGTCCAGTTTCATCATGAGTATCCATGGATTGTTAGTGCCAGTGACGATCAGACCATACGTCTGTGGAACTGGCAGTCACGCACATGCATTTCTGTTTTGACTGGTCACAATCATTATGTCATGTGTGCCTCATTTCATCCTAAAGAAGACCTCGTTGTTTCAGCTTCTCTTGATCAGACTGTTCGTGTCTGGGATATTGGTGCCCTGAGAAAGAAAACTGTGTCCCCAGCGGATGACATTCTGCGTTTGAGTCAGATGAATACAGATCTTTTTGGTGGTGCTGATGCTGTTGTTAAATATGTCTTGGAAGGTCATGATCGAGGAGTCAACTGGGCTGCATTTCATCCCACATTGCCTTTGATTGTATCTGGAGCAGATGATCGCCAAGTGAAATTATGGCGCATGAATGGTAATTATATGAGAAACTGCTTTTCTTTACTATATTCATTGACTAGAGATATTTTATGAAAAATCATTTCTTAAAATCAACATAGTTGGAATATAAAATCTTGGTAGACCTTTAAGACTTGCTTAGACTGTGCTTGTGATGCTGAGTTTTCAAGGAGGCTTCTATAACTCTATTCTACTCAATTTTGCTATATGGTCTTTGCCATCCAATTTGAAACAACCTAGTTCAACTTCTCTGCTGTATTTTAAACTTTCAAAATTCTTAAATGTGCATGGATGCTGTAGAAGTGGTAGAGATGATTTGCAGGAATCCAGAATATTTGAAACCCCTAAGAGACTGCTTTTTCTTCTGTACATTATCATTCTCTGGGGATAAACTCTATTAGTAAGGTGAAATTTTCATTTTTGCAGAGACAAAGGCTTGGGAAGTGGACACTTTAAGAGGGCACATGAATAATGTGTCCTGTGTTATGTTCCATGCCAAGCAGGACATAATTGTATCCAACTCTGAGGATAAAAGTATTCGTGTGTGGGATGTAACAAAGCGAACTGGAATACAAACTTTCCGCCGAGAGCATGACAGATTCTGGATTCTTGCTGCTCACCCAGAGATGAACCTTTTGGCAGCAGGTCATGACAGTGGCATGCTTGTCTTCAAGCTGGAAAGAGAGAGGCCTGCTTTTGCAGTGAGTGGGGAATCTCTATTCTACTGCAAGGATCGCTTTTTACGGTTTTATGAGTTTTCCACTCAAAGAGAGATGCAAGTGATTCCAATTCGACGTCCTGGTTCAACAAGCCTGAATCAAAGTGCAAGAACCCTTTCTTACAGTCCAACAGAAAACGCAGTTCTTATCTGCTCAGATGTGGATGGTGGATCTTATGAATTGTATGTCATTCCAAAAGACAGCATTGGTAGGGGTGACAGTTTGCAAGAGGCGAAGAGAGGCCTTGGGACCTCTGCCATCTTTATTGCTCGTAACAGATTTGCTGTGCTTGACAAAAGCAACAACCAAGTACTAGCCAAGAATCTAAAGAATGAGGTTGTTAAAAAAAGTGGCCTACCTATTCCAACAGACACAATATTCTATGCTGGAACTGGTAACTTGCTGTGCCGGTCTGAGGATAGAGTTGTTATCTTTGATCTCCAGCAAAGGCTTGTCCTGGGAGACCTGCAAACCCCTTTTGTGAAGTATGTTGTTTGGTCTAATGACATGGAGACTGTTGCCTTGCTCAGCAAACATGCGATTATCATTGCAAGCAAGAAGCTTGTGCACCAGTGCACACTTCATGAGACAATCCGTGTGAAGAGTGGAGCCTGGGATGAAAATGGTGTTTTCATTTACACAACTCTGAATCATATCAAGTACTGCCTCCCCAATGGAGATAGTGGGATAATTAGAACACTTGATGTGCCTATATACATAACAAAAGTTTCTGGGAACACTATCTTTTGCTTGGATCGGGATGGAAAGAATAAAGATATAGTTATTGATGCAACAGAATATATTTTCAAGCTTTCTTTACTTAGGAAGAGATATGACCATGTTATGAGCATGATAAGAAACTCACAGCTCTGCGGTCAGGCAATGATTGCATATCTGCAACAGAAGGGGTTCCCTGAAGTTGCTCTTCATTTTGTTAAAGACGAGAGAACTCGCTTTAATTTGGCTCTGGAGAGTGGAAACATTCAAATCGCAGTTGCATCAGCTAAGGAGATTGATGAGAAAGATCACTGGTACAGGCTGGGTGTGGAAGCTCTTCGCCAGGGCAATGCAGGTATAGTGGAATATGCCTACCAGAGGACAAAGAACTTTGAGAGGTTATCCTTCTTATATCTCATAACTGGAAATATGGATAAGCTGTCAAAGATGTTAAAAATTGCTGAGGTTAAGAATGATGTGATGGGTCAATTTCATAATGCCTTGTATCTCGGTGATGTCCAAGAACGTGTCAAGATCTTGGAGAATGCTGGTCACTTGCCTCTTGCTTATGTTACAGCTTCTGTCCATGGGCTACAAGATGTTGCTGAACGTTTAGCAGTTGAATTGGGAGATAATGTTCCCTCTTTGCCTGAGGGGAAAGTACCCTCTCTACTCATACCCCCTAGCCCCGTCATCTGCGGTGGTGATTGGCCCCTTCTTCGTGTCATGAAAGGTATATTTGAAGGTGGGCTGGACAGTGTTGGCAGGGGTGATGTGGATGAAGAGGAAGAGGAAGAGGGTGTTGAGGGTGATTGGGGTGAAGAGCTGGAAATGGTTGATGCGGATGGATTGCAGAATGGGGATGTCACTGCAATTTTGGAGGACGGAGAAGAGGCTGAAGGAAATGACGAAGATGGTGGATGGGACCTTGAAGATTTAGATCTTCCTCCTGAGGTAGACACTCCAAGGGTTTCTGTCAATTCTAGATCTGCAGTTTTCGTGGCACCAACTCCTGGTATGCCTGTTAGTCAAATATGGATTCAGAGATCATCTCTTGCTGCTGAACATGCAGCAGCTGGCAACTTTGATACGGCAATGCGGCTGCTGAGCCGACAACTTGGCATTAGAAACTTTGCCCCACTGAGATCCATGTTTCTTGATCTTCATGCTGGCAGCCACAGCTATCTTTGTGCCTTTACATCTGCCCCAGTTGTGTCCCTAGCTGTTGAATGGGGCTGGAATGAGTCAGCTAGTCCTAATGTGAGGCGTCCTCCAGCTCTTGTATTTAATTTCTCTCAGTTGGAAGAAAAGCTTAAGGCTGGTTATAAAGCCACTACAGGTGGAAAATTCAAAGAAGCTCTTCAGCTTTTCCTTAGTATTCTTTATACAATTCCTTTGATTGTAGTGGAGTCAAGAAGGGAGGTAGATGAGGTCAAGGAGTTAATTATTATTGTGAAGGAGTACGTTCTTGGTCTTAAAATGGAAGTTAGCAGGAGAGACATTAAGGACAATCCAGTGCGGCAGCAGGAGCTTGCTGCTTACTTCACCCATTGCAACCTTCAAATGCCTCACTTAAGGCTTGCTCTGCTGAATGCAATGACTGTCTGCTATAAGGCAAAGAACTTGGCTACTGCAGCTAACTTTGCCAGGCGTCTGCTAGAAACGAACCCAACAAATGAGAATCAAGCAAAGACAGCCAGGCAAGTGCTCCAGGCTGCAGAGAGGAATATGACTGATGCCACTCAGCTGAACTATGACTTCAGAAACCCATTTGTTATTTGCGGGGCGACTTACGTCCCAATTTACCGAGGGCAGGAGGATGTATCTTGTCCGTACTGTAGCAGTAGATTTGTGCCTAGCCAGGAAGGTCAGTTGTGTGCTGTCTGTGATCTTGCAGTGATTGGGGCAGATGCTTCTGGCTTGCTCTGTTCTCCTTCACAGATTCGATGATCAGGCTGCTAAACTGGAACTTCTTTCAAATTCCATCTTGCTCTTTTTTCTTCTTTCTTTTTGGCTGATAAACCAATCAAGTTGATTGATTTATCTCTGCAGGTACAAGTTTAGAAATACTGAATAAGAGTAAATCACCAAATTAATGGTTTGTTTTCTCTTGGGTTTTTGGTTGTGCCCTTCGATTTGTTCATTATGATTTTCAATGTTGTAAACAATTTGAGAATTTTGACTACGGTTATTCATGTTCATAGGCAAGAACAATAATAGTTAGGACTTACATGTCAATGTATCCCGATGCCATTTTGAGATCTTATTTCTGAGATTTAGTGTTTTTTGGTGAATCATTGTTTTCCAGTTTAAATAGATGAGCCTTGTTGTATTTGTGCAATTGCTTATAATTCCCTTTTCTTTTCTTTTCTTTTCTTTTTTTTCCTTTGTTTCTTTTTATGCATTTTATAATTGCTGTTTTTTATATGTTGACCACTTTTTTTTGAAGGAGGGAAATTGGGACGTAGGGGGAGGGAGAAAGGAATACAAGGGAGTTCAACTCCAGTTGTGTGGGTGGAGCATATACATGGTGACCACACAAGTCATGGATCAAGATTCTTATATGTTGACCACTTATTACGTCACTTATTTCTCGAAAAAAAACAGAAGATGGACTGGAATAGATTCGAAGTCATTTATCATGTATCTGAACTATAAGTGGAAGCTAGGTTATGTGGGAAAAAAAAGGTCCAAGTTTTCCCATTTTCTAATCGTGCATTGTGATTTTAATTGAGACTTTTTTTATTGTACAAGAAAAAAAAAAACCCTATTTTTGAATGAGATAAACACTCATATCATAATTTAGAACTAAGTCCTCAAACTGGAATTCAATACTAATTAAGATATCTCAATGGTAAATTTTCTCCATTTTTTTTCTAACATGATAGTAATGAAAAGGGGTTGTGGGGTTGCAAGTCGACGTACAAGAAAAAATGTTAGAATATTTCTTGAACTAATTAAACACCATAAATGAATTAATATTTTTTATAATGCAAATCTAACAAATTCTTTATAGGTTGTGCTTTTTTTCTTAATTTTTATTTTATATGTTCCAAGGATTAGTTGCTTAACATTGTAGTGATTTGATCTTCTAATTTTAATTTAAATTAATATTTTTAAGTTAATGATTATCAATTTACTCAAACTCTTTATTTTTTTTTTTTTGAACTATACAAATAATTCTAGTAATAATACAAACAAAAGTATACTTGAAAGAAATTACACCAAATCATTACTCATTAACCAGTAAGTTATGGTCACTAAAAAGAATGTTAAGGTTAATAAAATTAAAAAATATAATTTTTTAAACTATTGATATTATTTAATTTAATTGATAAAAATAATTAATAATTAGTAATTAATATTTATTAATTAACAAAATTAAAACTAACTAATAAATTAATATTTTTAGAAATTATTTTAAAAAATCTAAAAAATTGGTGACTTTAATGTATTCTATGGTGGCAATAACCTACTCTCATGTTAGCACAAATAGATTGTTTTTTACAATAAAACTCAAGAAGAGACTCCAATTTTTCTTAAAGTAATGATTTTTGGAACCAAAATTTTAGCATCAAATTACTATTTTAACTATTAATTATATGAGTTTCATATGATTAATAATTATCATAAAATCATCTTAAATTTGGTTATAACTCCTAAAACGTTTTTTTTTTTAAAGATTTTTTAACGTATACAAATAAGACTCTTAGTACTTAAGTAACTTATTTAAATGGAAAACATCTCTATATGCTAATGTTATAGACAGTGGCTAGACGAAGTTGATATACTTGTTTAATTATTAATAAAATAAAGAATAATTCCAAAGTCTAGACTACTAATCGCAAAATACAAACTTTTTTAAATGACAAACAGGTCCTATTATTAGTCCTTTCTCACATATCAATTTTTTTAATTTTATAATTTAATATTGTTTAAATTATAAAAGAACTTATATTTAATAAAATTTATGATTTTATAAAAAGAAAATTACAGTGTCTACCTGTGCAACTGAAGGAATTTATTTTTAGAATAATAATAAATGGTATAAAAATTTAGAATTAAAACTCAAGATTAATAGTGTGATATAAATTATATTCTTTAAAATATTTAAAATATATATTATTATATAATTTTTAATTTTTATTTTTTAAAATTTATAATATTATCTATATCAATTAATTTAATAAATAATATATATTACGACATTAATTTTAATTTTTTATATTAAATTTTCACCTCTTTATAATTACTCTTATATTTAAAAAATCTGTATCACCGCAAATACAATTTTTTTAATTTGTTTCTCACACCTAAATTTACTTTTATCACTGCTGGTACCGATTCACGCGATCACAACCATTGATTACTAATCCAACGGCCACCCATTCCCAAACGCAAAATATTTCCTGCCATCTCCATCCGAAAATTCCTAAAACCACCGCACCACCGCGCCCCCCATACGAAGGTGAGGACTTCAAGCTCTCTCCGTCTTTCCGTATAACAATCAATCATCACGAAACTGTTACACACCGCTTGATTTCTTCTTAATCTTAGACGATTTCTTGATCTTTTCACTCACTGTTCAGATCTGAGAGGTGAATCCTTCTCTTTTGATTTTTCTGAATGATTCTCATTTCCTTGTTTTGTGTTTTGATTTCGTTGATTTTTGCAGTGATTTTGGTGATTGGAGAAGGAGGAGGAGGAGGAGGAGAAGAAGATGTTGACGAAGTTCGAGACGAAGAGTAATAGAGTGAAGGGATTGAGCTTCCACAATAAGAGGCCATGGATCCTGTCGAGTCTTCACAGTGGCGTGATCCAGCTCTGGGACTACCGAATGGGGACTCTGATTGATAGATTTGACGAGCACGACGGCCCTGTTCGTGGCCTCCATTTTCACAAGTCTCAGCCGCTGTTTGTCTCTGGAGGTATTGATATTTTTTTTTACTTGAATTTTATAATGGTGTCTTTTTGGAATGTGTTATATATAATTTTGTTGAAATTTGGTCCATTTTTCAAGTGATCTACGGATATGAATGCAATTTGGCTGATTAGCTGGAGTTAGATCACCTTAATGGAGGTCTGTTTAGCAATCCGATTTATAGGTATAGGCCTGTTTATCTATTCCGACTGAGTTGAAAATCGGAAAACTGCGTTCATCCGATTCTTAGAAAAATGCTGGATCTGAACTTAATGCAGCCTTTTAGCTGACTATAGGAGTATAGGTGATCTGATGTTTTATGCCTTCTAGATCTAACTTGAATATGCATGCAAAAAGTTACTGTGTACTCAATTACTTATGTCAATTTTGTACCTAAATTGCCACTTCATTTTGATTGTGTTTGTGTGTGAGCATGTGTACTCGTTGTTTTAGGTATGTGAATGTATGTGTATGCAACTAGGTTCTTACCGGAATCATGGTTACAAACCTCAATTAAACATGGTATGCTGTTTTTGCCAATTCTTAAACCCTGATTGAAGGAAGGATCAATCTTTTATGGTGTATGGCAATCATAAGAAGAGATGTACGATGTGATTTTGGACACATTGCTAAACCATGTTAGAGTTTGTAATAGGTTATTTCAATCAGGGGATCTGGTCATTTTATATGTCTACGTGTTATATATATATTTTTTATTCTCATGCTTGAATCATTTAGCAGGAGTGGGGCTATAACATAGTCAAAGTCAAAATAGTATTAACATTGTTGGCTTTTTCAGGGGATGACTACCAGATAAAAGTTTGGAATTACAAAGAGCATAGGTGTCTCTTCACCCTTTTTGGACACCTTGATTACATCCGCACTGTGCAATTTCATCATGAGTATCCATGGATTTTGAGTGCCAGTGATGATCAAACTATTCGAATTTGGAACTGGCAGTCACGCACATGCATTGCTGTGATAACTGGTCACAATCATTATGTTATGTGTGCTTCATTCCATCCTAAAGAAGACCTTGTTGTCTCAGCCTCTCTTGATCAGACTATTCGTGTTTGGGATATTGGTGCCTTACGAAAGAAGTCTGTGTCCCCTGCAGATGGGTTAGGTCAGATGAACAATGATATTTTTGGCAACATTGATGTTGTTACTAAATATGTATTGGAAGGTCATGATCGAGGAGTCAACTGGGCTGCATTTCATCCTACACTGCCTTTGATTGTATCAGGAGCAGATGATCGCCAAGTGAAATTATGGCGGATGAATGGTATGTGTATGAAACCTGTCTCTCCTTCCCTCTTTATCATATTGCCTCTAGATGGGGACTTTTTTCCCTTCCCCTGCAAAGTCTACTTTGTTGAGGCCATTAAAATTTCTTCATGAACTTTTATACTGATCAACACACTTGAGATACCAATTTTTCAGAGTGGTGTCTAGAATAATATTTAATTTGCTGTCTGGACAATTTGGATATTTTAGCCAAGCTAGATCAACTACTCCATTTTTTTACACAAAAATCATTATTTCATATGGATGAGGGTTATAAGAGTGATTGTGTAAGGCATGTAGACATGGATTCTTGAGATTTTGTCATTGTAGTAGATTTAGACACCTGGGTTGTGGGGATGTGTTCCTCTTCTGGATAGGCCAAAATGCTGCACTTTATAAATAAGTCCTTTCTTCAATATTTTCCCACAAGAGAGACTCAGTTATAAGTTTAAGTGTTCATTCTGTTTACAGAGACTAAGGCTTGGGAGGTGGACACGTTAAGAGGGCACATGAATAATGTTTCATGTGTTATGTTCCATGCCAAGCAGGACATTATTATATCCAATTCTGAGGATAAAAGTATTCGGGTGTGGGATGTGACAAAGCGAACTGGAATTCAGACCTTCCGCCGAGAGCATGACAGATTCTGGGTTCTTACTACTCACCCAGAGATGAATCTTTTCGCAGCAGGTCATGACAGTGGCATGATTGTCTTTAAGTTGGAGAGAGAAAGACCTGCTTTTGCAGTGAGTGGGGATTCTCTATTCTACTGCAAGGATCGCTTTTTACGGTTTTATGAGTTTTCCACTCAAAGAGATACACAGGTGATTGCAATTCGACGTCCTGGTGCTACAAGCCTGAATCAAATTCCAAAGACCCTTTCTTATAGTCCAACAGAAAATGCTGTTCTAATCTGCTCAGATGTGGATGGTGGATCTTATGAGTTGTATGCCATACCAAAAGACAGCATCGGTAGGGGTGACAATTTGCAAGAGGCAAGGAGAGGCCTTGGAATCTCTGCTATCTTTATTGCTCGTAATAGGTTTGCTGTGCTTGATAAAAGCAACAACCAGGTACTAGTCAAGAATCTAAAGAATGAGGTTGTTAAAAAAAGTGGCCTACCTATTCCTACAGATGCAATATTCTATGCTGGAACTGGTAACTTGCTGTGCCGGTCTGAGGATAGAGTTGTTATCTTTGATCTCCAGCAAAGGCTTGTCCTGGGAGACCTGCAAACCCCTTT